TATTGACAAGATTTTTGATTCTGAAGTGAAAGGGGAGGTGATTGCAGACAGCATGGGAGATATTTCTTACAACTAATGAAAGAAAATGCAAAAAGCACCCCCATTTTAAGAAGAGAGGGAGAATTCCTAGTGCGAGAAGTTCCTGATGAAGAAAAAGAAAATTAAACATTGTCCAAGAGAAGAAAAGGTTGAGAGACCAGGAAGGGAGACCTCATCTATTCCCACTGAAGAAGAGATGGAGAATTGTCCTTCCTAATACTTCCATTAGGACAGGGGTCAGCAACCTGCGGCTCTGGAGCCGCATGTGGCTCTTTCATCCCTCTGCTATGGCTCCCTGTTACTCAAAATATGCATCACAACCGCCAATGTCGCCAATGTGCGACACCCGCCGGCATGCAATTTATTGAGCTTTTCAACCCCCGGTAGGCCAACCATGGCCAACCATGGATAAATCCAAGAAAAGAAAGGTTTCAGAAGAAAACAGAACTTTTAATTCAACTACATATGCTAGTTTTGTGGCCGTTCAAGAAATAGTCAGGCACGGTTTTCTGACTCCCGGTGTTTTCTTTTCTGTGGGAAACGGGTCCAGATGGCTCTTTGAATGTTTAAGGTTGCAGACCCCTCCGTTAGGAGAAGAGAGCCACCAGGAAAGCTTCAAAAAAGAAATAGAAATAAAAAGATTACAATCCTCTCTACCCAAGCAGAATCAGAATGGAATCCGCATCAAATCATACGATATCTTGAAAAGCAAAGAGGGAATCAAAGGAGAAAATCAGAAGGGAGATGGCATAAGGAATTAAGACCCAGCAATTCCTAATTATTATATAAGCAATAAGCAGATGCTTCCCAATCTTATAACTTAACAGTAACAGAGTTGGAAGGGACTTTGGAGGTCATCTATTCCAACCCCCTGCTCACGCAGGAGACCTATACTAGGGATTCGAACTGCCAAACTTCTGACCTTTCTGACTGACAAGCTCAGTGTCTTAGACACTGAGCCACCTAGCCAGGCAAATCTCAAAGCCATGGAAATCTCAAATCTCAAAGCCATGGAAATCTAATGGGTTCAGAAGGCAAGAGGAAAAGACCTAGAATCTAGAAACCCCAACAGCAGATATTTATAAATAGGTCTTGCTGCCAGAGGCCTCATTTCTGCAGTAGTTCTATAAAATCTAGAAATAGAATCCTATTCCAGTATTCAGGAACAGCTTTACCAATATTTCTCATCCTCAATGCTGGCTGAGGAATATTGGGAGTTGAAGTCCACCAGGGCCGGATTTTCCTATAGGCTAACTAGGCTTCAGCCTAGGGCCTCAAGATCAAGAGGGGCCTACATTCAAATTGTTAGCAAAATTAAAATTACACTTTCACTATAAGTGAAAGGGCCTCATAAGTGGAATAGCCTTGGGCCTCTTTTCATCTAAATCCGGCCCTGAAGTCCACACATCTTAAAGTTGCTGAGGCTGAGAAACCCTGGGTTATACTGATAAGTCAAGAAGCCCTGAGTTTACCTGTGTTCCTAAAAGTCACAATTGTGTCAGTATTTCCAAAAAAAATATTCCCATGTCCAGGCCAGTTGCCTATATTGTAAAGACTTGCACGTATAAACCATACAAAACTTTCTTCTGTGTTTGGAGTTGTGTGGAAGAGTTCACACAAGCAGTTAGTTCACACAGTCATGATGCTTAGGCCAAAAAATGTTCTTTTTTAAAAAAAATAATATTACAATGTAAGTTTTGGATGGGAAATTTTGCTTACTATCATTTGTCTGATGAGTAGAATCCTTTTCCTTGTACCTTAATGAAGGCTAGTTCTTTCATAACAAAAGTTGGCAAACTATAAATTATATGGAATGACAGGAATTGACAACCAGCCTCCTCTCTGCTGTGATGCCAACACTCAGTGAGCATCAGTTAGGTGTCATGTAAGATATTTCTTCACCAGAAATTTTAATTAGGTGTCATGTAAGATATTTTGTCACCAGATCAGAAAATTAACTCCACAGGAAAACTAAAACTTTGAGAGATATAGGTAGTCTTCACTTACCAATCACAACTGGAACTGACAATTCTGACAACCACTAAGAACTGTGGTTGCTAGGCAGAAAAATCACACGACTGTACCAGACTTATGAAGAGACTTCTATTTCTGCCATTAAACATATCACCACAGTCAGTAAGGAAGACATCATATGCAGTGGTGAAATCCAAATTTCTTTACTACTGGTTCTGTGGGCGTGGCTTGGTGGGAATGGTGTGGCTTGGTGGGTGTGACAGGGGAAGGATACTGCAAAATCTCCATTCCCACCCCACTCCAGGGGAAGGATATTGCAAAATCTCCATTCCCACCCCACTCTGGGGCCAGCCAGTTCTCTGAACTACTCAAAATTTCCACTACCGGTTCTCCAAACTGCTCAGAATTTCTGCTACCAGTTCTCCCGAACCTGTCAGAACCTGCTGGATTTCACCCCTGGTCATATGGCTGTGACTTGCAAGTTCTCTTCCATGTTATCCAGGGGTGGGTTCTACTTACCTTTACTATCGGTTTGCGATGGGATCGCGTGTGCAGATCGCTTCTGATGATGTCAGGATTAGTGGGAGGAGCTGGTTTTACTACCGGTTCTATAGAACCGGTCAGAACCGGGGGCAACCCATCACTGATGTTATCCCTTAATTATGCTTGTTGGAAGCCAATTTTGAAATTTGATTTCAGGAGGCTGCAACAGTCAGGTCTAGGACAACCTGGCATGGCCAGCTCGGCACCACCAAGTCACCTCTGCCAAATCACCGCTGCCAAGTTGTTGCAGTACAACTCAACATGGCCAATTCACCACAAAGATGTCATGGGCAGCCAGAGAGAGAGACAGGCAGGTGAGTGAACAGGCAGAGCATAGAGTGGAGGTGGCAGCCAGGGGCTTCCCAAGGAGGAAGAGTGGGGCAGGTGGATGAATGAACAGGTGGGCAGAGCACAGAGCAGCTGCCGGCAGCCGGGGTCTTCCCATTATCACCCTGCTGCCACCACCACCATGTTGAATGGGAACTTGGCATGGCAGTGGCAGAGATGGGTGTGAAAATGAGACACGCTGACCCACCACCATCTCCCCATCACCGTCCCTGCCCACTGCTGCTAACATTGAACAGACCAAATACCGCCACCATCACCAAACAGCCCATGGTGGCAGCAGCAATAAGGGGTGTGTGTGAAAATTGGAAGTTCCCAGCCACCACCTCCACTCTGTGCTCTGACTACCCACTTGCCTGACCACCTGGCTTTCCCTCCACCTCCCTGTAGCAAGTTCTCCTTATGGTGAATTGGCTATGTTGAGTTGTCCTGCAACAACTTGGCAGTGGTGATTTGGCAGAGGTAACTTGGTAGTAGCAAGCTGGCCATGCCAAGCTGGCCATGCTGAGCTGGCCACACCGAGTTAGCCATTCCAGCAACAGTCATAAATGCACACCCAGATGGCAATCACAAAGCCACAGATGCAAGGATTGGTCCCAAAGCTGTTTTTTCCAATAGTCATAACTTTGAACAATCACTAAACAAGGCAGTCAGTAAGCAAGGACTACTTGTAATAATAGAATCATTAAAAGTCTGGTTGTACTTACCTCTTCCTCCTCCTTATACATCAGTGGATTAGGGGGGCTTCTGCATGAGTTGCTTCCAAATGCTATCTTGTGAGTTTAAAAAATGCTTTAGCCCCCTTTTGTCTGGCAATGGCTCCTGGATATCTCAGTTAAGAACATATTGCTCACTTTCTACAATTTTTAATGCTTAAATACTGTATAATACTTTATAGAATAGAATTCTTTATATTCTTTATAGAAATTATGACCTATTAATAAAACTGGACTCTTAATTTCCACTTTTAAAAAAAAACAAAAGGAACTGATTCTTTTATTCCATATTAACTATTTAGAGAACTCCTGTTGCTTATTCACCACATGCTTCTAAAAGCTATTTTCTGCTAAGATTATGTGGATTGTGAGGTAACAGTATTTGAACAGATCAATTATTTCACTACTTTGAGTTGATCTCCAGTAACTAATTGAAGATGGCTTTAAGTAGCTCATCTCTCAATTTTAACATCTCACCTGGAAAGGAAAGCTACCTGATGCCAGTGTCAAAGGGAGCAATAAAAATATTCTAGTGCTGTGCTACGGTAGAATATAAGTCTACATAGTAAATAAATAAATAAATAATATTTTCTCCCAATCACCTTAACTGATGCTATTGTTCCTATATTTCTTTTTTTTTTTTTAAGACAGGGGATGAAAAGAGGGAAAACAATTGAATATCCAAGGCACAAATTATGCACGGTTTATGACAGAAAATGCTCCTGCTCTGCTGGCATGTTAAACAATATTCTATATTAATCTTATTATGGAATAGTGAAGAGTAGATTCTCAGTGACTTCACAGCAATATCTTTGCAATCCAGGGATTTGCAGAATGAGTGACACATTCATTCAACCTGCAAGTGCCTCTGGATCCACATCTCTGCCATTCGATCCCAGTTTTATGTGCTCTAAAAAGTTTTTTTGCAAATGGGTCTCCTATGCAGAGTTTCCTCTCCTTTTTTGAAAAGTTTCCTTGTCACATCATCAGTTCTACAATTCCTTGATGATCTCCTTACCTGAATCAGTTGTTTACAATCCCAAAACCAGAGGTCCTCAAAACATAAATGTTTTGTTTTTAGTGTGTAAGTAGGATTATTTGAATTCCTATCCTGCTGCACACATGAAAAGTGAATGAGTGTGCCTCATGCTTGCAGTCATGTTTCAGCTAAAAGATTCTAAGTATTGGCTGCTTAATCCCCAAAATAAAACCAAAGCACATATTTTTGTTCTTTACAAATGTCCCTCCATAGGCACCTAGTATTTCTGCCCTTTTGACTACAATGGAGTTTAAATCCCCATTGAAAATGATGGGCACTCTACTTGGTGGATGCTTTAGCCGGCTTGCCATAGTTAAGATGCCTCTGTTTTAAATAGTACTTACTGAAGCATAAAGTCGACCTCTTTTGTTCATGGCCAGGTACCTGCCCGAAAAACAGCCTTTGATAGCAACAATCCCAATGTCCACTGCGGTTATTTCCAGAATACCTAAAAGCAAAATGTAAGATCTATTTAGACGACTCACAGACATATCATTTCATTGTGTATTGGTATTGTTGTTCTTTTACAAATTTTAGAAACTTTAAATACTACATGTCAAGGAAATCAGAGGGAAATCCTTAACCTTTATCCAGTAATGAGCCCATTGGATTTCATTGGACTATTATTATTTTTTTTGCTTCATATTGAACAAGTTCTAAGTTTTTGTTTATTTTTGTGAAACGCTTCCCACCACTCAAATGATAAGGTAGCCTAGCCTTCGGAATACCATTTGACCAACATTTGACCTAATCAGTATCTTCAGAATTGGTATTTCTTTATGCAAAGTCTCTTTTATTCCAACTGTCTCTCCAATAGAGTTGAAACATCCTCCCATTTTACTACAAGAAAAAAATGAAAATGATGTATTATTGACTGACACTTGAACTGAGCAGTAATTTGGATCCAGTTTTTTTCCCTTGACTCTTAAACTAGCAATATTAAACTATCTTAAATGTTACTTCCATGTGGAAATCATTGTGCTTAGTAACACCACCACACAACATACCAGCATTTACTCGTACTGTACATTCATAATTAATTCCGGATGATTGAAAATGACAACACTCCAGACGATAAGATGGGAATTGTTAGAAATAAACCCTTACTAGTAAATCCACAGCTATTTGATTGAGACTGAACTGTTTCAAAAAGAAAAAGAAAGAAAGGCTCTGACATTGAACTAGAGGTTCACCTAATCCTATATGTCTATAAAAACTTTAAATCCCCTTTAATGCCTTTCTTAGAGGTCCAAGAGTGCTTGACTTACTGAAACAAACCACAAAGCTGCCCATTTGGGGACAATACCCTTATTGAGGTTTCTGGAGGGCAAAATGGAGGAAGACAAGAGGCTGCCACATCTAAGAGCTTGGATGGACAATGAAGGGGGTTAGTCAGTTAGAAGTCAATGTATCCTTGGGGAAAGGACAAAGTGGCTTGTCTAATCTCCAATTCAGAGAAAGGAACTTTTTTAATCCATGAAAGAACCAAGAAAAATTGCATATATTATTTATCAAAGGACTGTTCTGAGCATTATATTGAATAACAAAAAGTCTGGAATGCAGATATAGCATTTACAGAGGTATAGGCAATCCTTGCTCTCTAACTAGTGCTCATGCTTACACACACCTACATCCACATACATACATATCACACTCGTACATAGAGGAACCAATATTAAGGTCGTGGACCAGAATGGGGAGATCCAGGTTCTAGTCTTCCCTTAGGAATGAAAGTTGGGATTGTCTCTCTCTCTCTCTCTGCTTTAGACTTGAAATTTGAGATATATGTATCTGGCACTGGATCAGCACAGGAGACTATGGTCCATAACTTTCCATGAAAATGACTACATCAGGGGTCCTCAAACTTGACAGCTTTAAGACTTGTGGACTTCAACTCCCAGAATTCTCCAGCCAGCTCTGCTATACCATGCAGAGGATTAATTTGGGTTGATAATAATATCACACAGGGTGACATGGAGGGAGACAGGGACAAAAAAAGACTCAGTCTAAGGCCCACAGAACACTACATAATTTTTTTAAAAAGTCATTTCAAAAAAGTCACAAGAGGAGACATGTTTTTACATGCCTGTAAAATGCATATATTACATTTATAGGTATTTCTTGGGAGGGAATCTTTAATTGTATGTGGAATAATTAAACATTCGAGAAAAATCAAATAATAGCATAGAAATGATACATGAAGAGATTTATTATTTACATTTCAGACTATGCCACCAGCTATTTCAGCAATTCACTATCACTGATACTATCCCATGTACTCAACATTTTAAATCCTGAAGTCTTAAAATTCTGTTAGTACTTTAAAATTGTGTTGGCAACAGCACATACATCCATACAACTCTCAGAATATAATCTTCAAATTATACTGGTTAGGATGGTTTAGGATTTAATAGAAATTGTATCTCTGCTACTGGAATAAGTCTATTGGCAAAGCTATGGCAATAGAGTAGTATCAGGGATAGAAAGGCCTTAAATTCAGACGTTATTGTGGATGCCTATGTTCACACAATGTTACACCAAGAAACAAAAGTATGTAAATCAGAATGTTCCATGATTGAAACCAATGGAAAACCATGAACTTCATCTTGCTCCCTGTTAAACAAGCACAGTGAAGGTTTTTGACTATTTCCATTGTTAAACATTTAGCAATGATTAATGCATACCATAGAAAGGGGAACTACCAGTGGTGGGTTTCAAAAATTTTTACTACCGGTTCTGTGGTTGTGGCTTGGTGGGCATGGCAGGGGAAGGATACTGTAAAATCTCCATTCCTTACCCGCTCCAGGGGAAGGTTACTGCAAAATCCCCATTTCCTCCCAATCAGCTGGGAATTGGGAGGCAAAGAATAGATGGGGACGGGGCCAGTCAGAGGTTGTATTTACCGGTTTTCTGAACTACTAAAAATTTCCGCTACCGGTTCTCCAGAACTGGTCAGAACCTGTTGAAACCCATCTCTGGGAACTACTAACCCCATCATGTGGCTATCACTGTCTCAGTCATCAACATCTTAAATATGAACATTTAGTGCCTATTTATTTAGTCCTCTAAGTGATCATTTTTATGCAGAACTCCAGATGAAATGAAAAATAAGTTTTGTCCCTAAGAATTTATCTTTTTAATAGGAAGGTCATCTTAGATTTACCAAGTACAACAAAGTGGGAATAGGTGAATTAAAATCAAGATATTTGTATTTTAATACAAATGACTGCAGAAAAGGGTGATATTAATGGTGGAAACTGACTGTCAGCTTGGACCAAGCAGCTATTGGTCACCAGCATTTTAAGCCATATATGTAGACCGCCAATATTTAAACTTATTATGTTGAAAGTGTTAATAGAGCTATTGTTTGAGCCATCAGGGTTCTTTCAAATAGGTAAGCTCCACTTAAGACTGTAGACACTGATGCTTACATTGGTGAATTCATCCATAAGGGCCACAGAAGATCCAGAGATAGCTCCTAATCTCTCTTTTCTCCTTCATCTCTGTAACTGAAAACAGTTTAGCAAAGGAGATCCTTTTTCTTACAGATCAAGTGGAAGTGTCCAGATGAAGATTTAGTGGTTCTACCTCTTAAAGGCTTAAGTTAAAACTTTAACATTCCCTTTCAAGGCACAGTCTTAACTGCAGCTTGCATATATCAACAGAGTCGGGATATAATAGAGAATCCTATATTGCACATGAGATTTGGCCTAATGAATGTTTGGGGAAAGTGCTTTCCTTCATTGTAAGTCATTTCAATTTAGATCTGTCCCAGCAAGGACACTTTTTACAAGGTCAACCATAGAAAGCTGTATTATTTTCTCCTCTCATAGCATCTTTGTTCAGCCTAAGGATAATATACATCTAATGCACCTAAAAGCTGGATGCATGTACAGACCATTATATTTCATCATTTGGAACAGTTAAGGGAATAGAATAGAATAGAATAATTTTATTTCTATACCGCCCTTCTCCCGAAGGACTCAGGGCGGTGTACAGCCTATTAAAAACACAAGACAACATCAGTTAAAATAGTTTAAAATTATTAAATGAATTCGGCTCAATTTAAAACCCCAGGAATTTAAAACCCAATTTAAAATTGTTATGTTGACAGCCCAGCCTGGCGGAACAACAGGGTCTTGAGTGCACAACGAAATACCTGGAGGTCGGAGATCTTACTCATTTCCAGGGGCAGTTCATTCCACAGGGCTGGAGCTCCCAGAGAGAAGGCCCTCCCCCTGGGTGTTGCCAGCCAACATAACTTGGCCGATGGTACCCTGAGGAGACCCTCTCTGTGGGAGCGAACTGGCCGGTGGGAGGCTATTGGTGGCAGAAGTCGGTCTCGAAGGTACCCAGGTCCCATGCCATGGAGCGCCATGGTCCCATGCCATGGAGCGCTTTAAAGGTGGTGACCAACACCTTGAATCGCACCCGGAAGACCACTGGGAACATTCAACACTTTCTATTCCAATTGGTTTTAATTCATAATAAAAAAGAAAATTAAACTTTGGCTAGATCATGCCCTCAATGATACTTCACTGATAGGTGACATCTACATAAGAAGCTCTGCTAGAAATGATAGAAAAATCTGCCTTGGTGCCTATCATACATACATGCCTGGTATTCTTGGGTGCCAACGCATCAGGATATGAATGATGTATGCAATCAATCTGATTTCTGAATGCCATGTCTACCTTGCAAAGGAGAACAATGTTTTTTTCAACTGATCTGTCACTGGTTAAGTGCTATTTCCTTAAACAGGGCATAATTTCCTCTGCCCTAAATACCCAAACTTTGCCAAGACAAACAAAACAAGATTAATGGGAGGAAAGGAGGGAACAGAAAACCAAACACCAGGATGAGATGAACAGACTGAAGTGTGAAAGTCATCTTGATGTGTTATTTACACATCTTTTGGGATAGTTACCCTGACCCTCCACCCCCACATATCCAGCTTTGTGTCATAAAGGGAAGAAGGGATCTAAAGCCTTAAAGAGCCATGGGAAATCACACCTTCTGGACAGAGAAACCAAGTGACAGCCACTCACTTATCCTGGTCTTTTGCAAATTTCAGAGTGCAAGTTTTTTTTTTTTTTAACTGAGGCTTCCAACTGCAGAACTACAGCCTTAGAGAGTGGGAAAGGGTAGCAGGCAAAGCAAAGGTGCTGAGGTACAGTGCAAAGATTTCTAAGAACAAGGACAAAAAGAAAGGGCATATCACGAGGAAACCCAGTGGACTCTGCTTGCCAGTTCTGCAAACGGAACAATATTCTATTTCAAGAAGACCTGAACATCCTTTTCTTTGTACTTCAAGCATTCTAGCCAAGCATCTGAAGGAATAGCCAGGGATCTCTGTGTGTAATATAAACTGGTTACACCAAATCATTTCTATCCCTCTATTCTCATCATCCAATAGCAAGAGAGAAGCTTCTTTTATCCCCAATACAATAGCCAAGCTATCTCTAACCTGATGCCCTCCAGATAATGTTACATCACAATTTCCATGTTGATTGGAGATTGGGTCCAAGATGTTAGATGTTACCAGGCTAGTTAAAATTGTGATCCGGTGACAGATTCTTTCTTTCATACCTACATTCCACAAATACTATTTTACCTTATGTCCTAAGTGTCCACAAAATATTCGCTATACCAAGTGAGAAGTAGAAATAGATTCTCAGAAGCTACTAAGACTCACAATCTCAGACACAATTGTGAATGGAACCGAACTCTTTCCCAGGGTATTCTACAATGGTTGAAAATTTGGGGTTAAATAGTATTAATTCTAAGACTAACTTCCAAGCAAAACTGTGTTATTTCAAGTCTCCGGTGTATTCTGTGCTCCTAACAGCCTAGGGTCTGCTTCATTGGGGAGGTAATAGGAGAATCTATATTGTACCAGTTCACAAACAGCCTTGCAACTTAGAAGCTTTTTTTAGTTGTTCCAGAAGTAAGAAACAATGTTAATATGGTGAAAATGAAACAGCATCTTCTCTGCTGTTAGGAAAAGGATCTCTTAAGTGCTGACAGTCATGTTTGGGAGATTCTTGACTGTCTGGTAGGCCAATTGGAGATCTGACTGTCCTGACACATATTCTCTTGACCTTTTTGCCTTGGGTATCAAGAAGGCTAACATCTGAACTGTTATACATTTCCTGATGGGAATATATTTCCTGGATTTTGGGGTCTTATATTTGTTCCTTTATTCCAAGGATTTCTTTCCCAGTTGTTTCTCCCCAGTAATGCTTAAGCGGAATTGAAACACTGGGAAGAATTTTCCTCTCCCAACCCCAGTAAAACTTCCTGGCTGCAAAGGCATCACCTCTACTTAAATCACCCATTCTAGATCTTGCCCAGGGGTCACCTTTGGTATGGATGGAGGCAGGCAAGTTCGGGATGTTTGTTGTAGCTTCGGTCTGGCTTTAGGCTAAGGCACGGTCTTGGCTGGCATCTCTCATCAATTCTTAACCGACAGACCTGATCCGCTTTGCGTTCCTCAGGGCCTGAACAGACTTTTCTACATAGCTAATCCAGCGATGCGAACTTTTCTACAAGCGGACTGCAAAGCATCTTGAGCATCCTGAACAGAGAGGCGAGAAAAATTTCTCTCTCTCTCTCTCTCTCTCTCACTTACTCACTTTTTCTTTCTTTCTTTCTTTCTTTCTTTCTTTCTTTCTTTCTTTCTCTTTCTCTTCTCTTTTTTCTTTCTTTCTCTTTCTTTCTTTTTCTTTCTCTTTTTCTATCTCTTTTTCTTTCTTTCTCTTTCTTTCTTTTTCTTTTTCTTTTCTTTCTCTCTCTCTTTCTTTCTTTCTTTCTCTTTGTTTCTTTCTTTCTTTCATTCTCTCTCTCTCTCTCTCTCTCTCTCTCTCTCTCTTGTCAAATAAATGAACAGCGTTTCAGCCCTGGCATTGGAGGAGGACAGAAATGCTGCTTCCTCGGAAATCAGGGCCAACGAAGCACCGGGGGCCTTCGATTCAAGAGGGAGAGCAAAGGGGCTAAAACTAGCGGCCAACTGCGGGGGGACGAGCAGGACGGGAGAGAGAAGCCACCCCGAGGTACTCACTGAAGACGCTGTTCTTCTCCAAGGTGCCGTTGATTTTGCCGTTGGCATGGATCTGAAGGTGGTACTTAGTGGCGCAGTAGAGCTTCCTCCGCCGGGGCGCTCCGCCGAGATGCTCGTAAACGCCGCCGCGGCCGCCGGCATCTCTGCGCCAGCGCGGGTCGCACGCTTCTCCTTCTCGGGCACAGGCAGGAGACGGCGGAGGCAGCTCGACAGCCGCCAACCCGAGGAAGCCCGGCGCCTGCAAGAGACTCAGCAGGACGAGCCAGGTTGTCACCATTGTGCATGATGGCCGAGGCGGCGCTCAGCTTGGAGCGGAGGACAGCCCCGCCGGACCCATTCAAGAGCTCTGAGCTGGAGAGGAGGCAGCCCGCCGAAGTTGCACAGGCTTATCGGATCCGGTGGGGAACGACTGACTGGGCTAGTCGTCCTTGGTGGCTGCGGCTTTCGCTGGGAGCGCGGGGGGTTCAAGCGGGGGAGGCTGTTTGTTTGTTTATTTGTTTCAATCAGCGTCGATTTCGTCCCCCTCCTCTTCCTCCTCCTCCTCCTCCTCCTCCTCTCCCCCCCCCACCCGAAGACCCAAATCTGTTTTAGATCTGAGTGAATTGAAAGACGCCCGAGGAAGTCTCAAACTCTTGGAATTAGGAGGAGAAGCTGCGACCGGGGTACCGGTCTCCAAAACTCGTGAATGAGAGCGAGAGAAAGGGAGAGAGAGAAAGGGAGAGAGAGAAAGAGAGAGAGAGAGAGAGAGAGGGCGAGAAGAGCCAGAGAGGGAAGAAGAGGAAACTGAGGGCGGGCAAGCGGGGGGGGGACCTAAATTCCCCAGAGAGAGATGTGGGGGGGAGTGGAAATTCGACAGTGAGTAAAGAGAAAAGGCGTTCGGCAGCAAATAATTGCTCTGCAGCCGAGTTATGGGGAAGAAAACCCCTCTGTCGATCTGGACGTGTTTGCACTTCATCTGGGTTTCACGCGGAATGCGCGCCCACGTGGGCCAGGTGATGGTCTGCCTGTGGCAGATACCCGTGTCGCCCACTCAGCCCCCCCCCCAGTTCAGCCTCCCACACCGCAGCAGCCCAGGGTTGATTTCTTTCCTCTTCCTTGGACCCGTTTCTAAAGACAAACGAAACAAACGCCCCCCTCCAGACCCAGGACCAGAGGCGTCTCCTCGACGTTAGGTACCTTCAAGGAGAGGAGACATTTCGGGGTTGGGGGCCGGACGCGACCTGCTTCTCGTTGCCTCGCTCGCCCAGTGTGTCGGATGAGTGATGCGGATGAGTGATGTACAAGGAGCTTTTTAAAAATATACTTTTGAAACGAAAAAGAAAGCACAAGAAAGAGGTTTTGTCTGCCAGCTCGGGAGGCGGATAGAAAAACAAAACAACCAAACACCCACATTTGAAGACTTCACTAGGCAGATCGCTTTGGGTGATTCAAACCGTTTCCTTTTATCTTGAATTGCAGAAAGAAACTACTTCAAGCTCTACAATTTTAGCCACTTTTTAAATCATTTTGCTAGGGAGATACACACACCGATGTTACACAGCTGTAATTTGATGGATTTTGATGTTGCATTCGATTTAATCTTTTACCTAACTCACTGTAAAAGAATCATCTTTAAGGTTTGCTTGTTAACACTTAAATCCCTCATACAAATTTAGAAAGAAAATTACGGTTTTAAGACATTAATATGCTGAATCCAGAACAATAACCACTGATAATTAACCAATTTTCTCCAAATGATCCCTAATCAGTATTTGTCCCAACATATTCGAAAATGCCCCTGCACTCCTAATCCTATACTCATTTATCTAGAAAGAAGCACCAAATACAGCGGGCATTACTTTGAAGTAGGTGTTTATTATAAACAGCTGAGGAGGTGGATGATTTCCCCAGCCAATTTAGTTTTCTCCGTTAATAATGCCTTGAAATACATGCATACCTATATTAAAAGTAAGGACATTCAAGACATTAAAGTACTGCATACATATAAAGAGAGTGCATACTCTGAAGGAGTCTTAAAAACTTTGCTTCTTGGGAGAATCTAAAATAATCCAAATACAAAATTTAAATATAGAAGTCCAGGCAGTATATATATATTTACTCTCCTCCTCTCCCATTCTCCCCCCTCTCTTTCTCTCTCTCTCTCTCTCACGCATACACACAATATTTCGCTGAAAATTTTGATCTTATGGGAGTGGCCAGTTTGATAAGCCCTTGGGTAACCGTTTTTTAAAAATATTTTTTATTATGGAAAGATTTATAGATATATATACGCATGTATTGGTGTGTAATTCTACTTAAAGATAACAACATTTTTAAAAATGTCTTTCCCATTGGTTCAAAAACTGGCTCGGAGAAACACAACACACAGAGAGAAACACCAACAAATATCTTCTTTCTCTCTCAGAAAAACTGGGATGTAAAACGGATAGCAGTCGTATCTGGTTACTAGAGCTGGCAGGGCCGCTATCAACGATGTTTTTGAAAGGTTGGGAAAGCGCATTCAAAAGGCATTGTCTAAACACCCCTCCTTCCCCCCCCCTCCGCCTCCTCCCATCTTTAAATATACGGATCCCGCCAGTGTGGCGTGGAAACTCAATCGCACGGATCCCGGTGAGAAACGGGCAGCAGATCATTTTCGCCTCGCAAAAGTTTCTTGCCCCGCCTCCCCCCCCCATCACCACTCCGAATCTACTTCTATGCCACCTTTGGTTCTCAAATGAACAGAAAGCCTTAATGCAAAACGTGACTCAGGATGATGAGCGTTGCAGTCCAAGGTTTTTCAACGGAGTTGGGAGAAAGCTGCCAGGGACGGTGGGTGAAAAGGACCCGATTTGTGGGGGCAATAAACTGACTTTGTATAAAAAAGAACACCGCTTGGGGGGGGGCTGAAAGCCCTACTAAGCAGGTATATACAAAAGTATGAAGGCTATTGCTTAACGCATTGTAAGTCGCCCTGAATCTCCGGAGAAGGGCGGCATATAAATTGAAGCAATAAATAAATAAATAAAAAGCTCCCTATTGCGATAATGTAAATGGGATTCCGACGGCGCGTCTCTTAAGCGCATTGTCATCAGTTTCCCTACATACAATCGTCGCCCCTCAAACTTTGCTGCCTTCAGCCTCGAACCGAGCCGGGCTTCCCAATACAATCAACCCTTAGCTGGGCAGCCTTACAAGGGAGGCGTACAACTCCTGGCTCATTCCGGTTCCTGAACCCCCCAACCCCAACCCCCAGCCCAGCCGTCCACCCTAGAAATGATTTTGGAGGAAAGAGTGCAGAGTTCGCCTTCCTGGACCCCTTAGTCACCTAGGCTAACCCGGTCGGAACAGCCCTCAGTTTTCAAATTGGCTCTTGCCCCAATTAGACCGGTTTATTTCTGTACACCCACTCAAAAAAACAAATAAACAAACACAACCCTTAAAGTCTCCCTTTTGCACGTGGTAAGTTGTCTGGCGGACTTAAAACAACATCAACGGGGCACTTTGATGTGGTCGCCTTGGAACCGAGGGTGGGACCTCAGATGTGGTCGAGCGGTCCCTTCTGGAAATACTGTTGATTATGGACTAGGGCTCTTCTCGTCGTGGCCCCAAAGTAATAATCAAAGGGCACTTTTGAGTCTGTTACTTAATGGAGCGGACGGAGGAAGACGAGGCGGCGGCTACGCGCAGGCTGAGCCTCTGAATCGAAGGTCTATTAATTTATTTCAAATGTGTTCTTGGTCTTCTTATAGACGGTATTGATATTTTTTTAAAAAAAGAAAAAAGCACTTAGAGAAAGGATGGGGAGCACGATAATCACAATTTTTGGACTCCTACCATCATGGACCTCAGCCAGTATGGCCAATATCAGGGGAAGCTCACCAGTCTTCAAAATCTCCCAGGCATGTGGTTTAAAAAAAAAAAAAGTCAAAATGGCATCAACGGCGGCCCCTTTGAACCCCGCCCCCCGCCCTCCGTTTTTAAGTTGATCGCAAACTTTTCTAATCACACCTTGCGGATTCTTCCCCTGCCATCTTCTCTCGTGATACCCAGGCAAACTTTATTCTAAATGTGAAAACTTGGAAGTCGACTCTCTTCAATTACATGAAACTGAGGTCCTTTGTTAACCTGGAAGAGTGATTAGTGCAGGTAACACCTTTCCTCCGAAGAGGTCAAACCGGATTTGCTTCATTGGGGGCTTCAATTTCTTAAGGAATAACTCCGCAAAGGGTGACGGCTCGAGTTAAAACCGTTTGGTCCCTCTTGGCGCCCTGTGGCTGCCTCGCTCTTAAATTGCCCCTCTGCTGGGGACTATGGGCACCGACATTCCCCCCCCTCCACACCCTTCGGGAGAGCTCCCGGTTAGGGAATGCTCCTTGAAGTGTAGGGACAGCCAGAGGATGGACAGCTGGGGTGTCCGAGTTTGGCAACTTTAAGACTGCTGTGGACCAACTCCCAGAATTCCCCAGCCAGCCATGGGGAATTCTGGGAGTTGAAGTCTACAAGTCTTAAAGTTATCAAGGTTGGGGCACCCCGATGTACAGTAGATCTTCAAAGGGGCAAAGGAAATGACCAAGAACGGCAACAGCTCCCTGAAGTCCATCGGAGGCGTTTCTCCGAAAGCAGCGCTGCGGAGGACCATGGCGAGACGCGTGGGGTTGCCTTGATGACCGGGTGGTGCTAATTCAATTAAAACGCTTCAGTTCAACCGCTTCGACTTCCTGGCGCGGTCTTGAATTCTGCTTCTCACCCCCGGCGCCTTCCCTGCAGTCCCCATCATGCCCAGCCAAGACCGACCCCCCCTCCACCTCCAACAGAATAAACACGTGAACCCCCCGGCTGCCTGCCCCGAAAAGTCCAGCGCATCGCGTTTCCAGCGCGACTGTTCAGACGAGAAACAAGCAAGCCCGTATTCTATTCCTCCCTAGGATCTCGGTTTCTCGATTCCCTGAACGTGGACAAAGGACTTTCGTGGGTTCGTCGTTTCGTGGGTTGTGTGGCTACAGCTCGCCCACGAAAACCGTCTCCACGAATACTTTACAAGGGACGCAAAACGGAGGCAGAGGCGAGCGGAGCCCTGGCTTAAAACCTCCGCGGTTTTCGGAGCCGGAGGCTTGGAAAAATAGGCCGATCCGCAGCCGCCCTTTGCTATTTAAAGCGCACAGTGGGTGCTCCATCACTAGAAGCTTTCAAAAAAAGATGAGACAACTATTGGTCTGAAATGATAATCGTGTCTCCTGCTCGAGCCGGGAGTTGGACTAGAAGACCTCTGAGGTCCCTTCCAACTATTATTCTATGTCCTATGTTCTCGGTGCGTGTGGTGGGAAAGAAAGAAAGTGCGCAAGAAAGGCATGGCTTAAGGGTGTCCACTTCCCGAGCATAACTGCTGCCCCTCCCTTCTAAAACCTTCCTTCCTGCCGAGTAGGGCTCATTTGCTTCCTAAAAGTTGTTTGTGGTTGTTAGTTGCAAAGTGTCCAACCCATCACGACCCCATGGACAATGTTCCTCCAAACCTTCCTGTCCTCTACCATCCTCTGGAGTCCTTTTAAGCTCACGCC